CCTTCGAGATGGCTTGAAAGTAGGGTGTGCTTGATCCCGAAACCTTCGGGAGACCTCAGACCGTTGACGGTCACGTCGGTTCTGTGGCGCCTCGGAACCCGCTCCCTGGTGCAACAGCTTCGTCCGTGGCTGCTGACGTGGCTGGACCACCACACGTTGGGAGGTGTCTTCGGCAGCGGAGTCCTCGACGCTCACTTGTTGCTCCACGCTGACTCCGAGGATGCCACGTACATCGCCCAGGATCTTCACAAGTTCTTCGACACTGTCGATTGGCGATTGATGGAAGAGAATCTCTGCTGGTTGCGAGCGCCACCCCAGCTTGTTCGGTTGATCCGAAACTTCTATACGCAAGGCACCAGAGTTTTCGCGCATGCTGGCATGCTTGGTGCGCACTTTCAGCATGTCTCCAGAGGACTTCTGCAGGGATGTCCGCTTAGCCCGTTGGTTGCTGCTACGTTCTTGAAGGTGTGGGGAAACCACGTTTCCAGCTCCAGTGTCAAAGTGACGTCCTTTGTGGATGACAGAACCATCTGGGCAAAGGGCAGAGGCAAGAGCACCCTAGATGTTGAGCACGACCTCTTGAGTGCCTATACCAGAAGCAATGAGTTCGATGAGGCCTGTGCCTTTTCTTGCCGCCCTGCAAAGTGTCAGTTGGCGGCTGCGGCTGTTGACACGCTCACTGTGCTGCCACGGGCTACTGGCTACAAGGTGGCCTCTGAGTTGCGGTGCTTAGGCCTGGTCCACGCGCTTCGTGAAGGAGTCGTGCGCCTAGGTCCTCAGGTTCTGGAGGAGGTCAGACTGCGGTGTCGGAACGTTGCTTTGCTGCCGTGAGGCCTCGAGCAGCGAGCCAAGTTGTTCAGAGTTCTGGTCCAGCCGGTGTTCTTGTGGGCAGCTGGCCTTGTCACCTACGACGCGGAGTTCCTGCAGAAGCTTCGTTCCGAGCTTGTCTCTGTCTTTGCACGTGTCTGGTGTGTGGACACTCCTCTGCTCGTGGGCTTGGAGCTACTTGGTTGGGACTGCGATCCCTGGGTCTCGACTTCACGCTCTTGCGCTGGCCAAAGCTTTTTCCTGGAGCACAACAGTGTCTTACTGACCTGGGATGGTGGGCGTCGCCGGACGGCACGAGCATCTCTAGACGAGATGACAGCGGCCTGGTGCGAACCTTTGTGCTCGGGTTTGACTCTGTCAACGTCCTCCGCAGCTGGATCGTGGACCATGGCCGAGTCCTCCTTGCTGCCCGCTCTGCTAGAGTTACTGGCGCTCGCAAGCGTCATCACCGTCCGAACCTTGCGCAGGGATTGGACCTCCCGAGAGGCCCTCCTCGTTGCCGTTTTCTTTGCCAGGGCCACAGAAAGCTTTTTGCCACGGCTGAGCGTAAGGTGGAAACCAACGCGGCTCTTGCCACAGGGTGTAGTGTCTGGCATTCCTTTGCAGGCTGTCATTTGACCGACATGGATCCAAGAGCTGTGTGCATGTGCGGTGATAGGTTCCCCTCGAGACCTCACCTTTGTTGGAAGTGCCCGGGTACCTCGGCGGCTCGAGAAGGCGTTCGGCTTCCTCAGAACTGCGCCGAGGAGCGCATGCTCGCGATCCCCTTGCCTGAGCTGCCAGGTCCGCCTGCGGCCTTGCAGTACGAGGATCCGGTTCCGGAGCTGGCGCAGCTCTTGCGAACAGCCTTTGCAGAGGGCGACGAGGCTTACATCGCCACTGATGGATCTGAGAAGGACGACGTCGCGGCGTGGGCCCTTTTCCTCCCTGCTGGAGGGCACAGAGTTGCAAGGCAGTGCTTGGGCCAAGACCAGACGGCCTTTCGGGCAGAGGTTGAAGCAATCCGCACGTGTTTGCTTGCTGTGCAGTATCTTGTAGCGGAGGGCATGACTTTCCGTTGCAAGACTTTGTGCGTGGTGTCTGACTGCCAAGCGGCCATTTCGCTTGTGACCACAGGTGAGGCTTCCTGCTTGCTTCTCGCTCGTGAACTCTTCCAGCTGAAAAGGGATGCTGATAGGTTGCTCAGGTTTTGCTTGCAATGGGTCCCTAGCCACGGTAAGCAAACTCCTGATTTTCAGGTCCAGTGCGGAGCCTCAGAGGCCTCCCTACGCCATTGGAACGATGTTGCCGACCGTGCGGCAAACGCAGCTCGTCAGGAAGCGGCCAACCGGTGCCGGCGGCCGCAGTGGCACGCTCTTCGCGAGCAAGCGCTTCGGTGGGAAGTGAAGGCTTTAGGAGTTCTTGTGAAGGCCAGCGATCTGTACGAGAGCCATGCCGCGGCTCTCAAACGGACCTTGGCTGAGTAAGCTGGTGGCACCGGGGCGTTTAGCAGGCTTTCGAGCCCATGCTGGCGTCCAACAAAACATCGAGAACTACACGCTAATCCGCTTCTTCATAGGCCAACGGGAGTGGAATAGTACTTTGTAGTCTGCTTAAAGTATTTTAGTATTAGTAGAGTAACTAACAGTAGTCATGATATATTTATTCATTCTACGAATATGAGAGTATATTACACCCCGAGAAATAGTTTTTTTTGGGGGGGGAGGGGAATGTTGAGAGACTTGTGGTCAGGACTAGCGTGTTGTTATGAGAATGTGCTGTTGACATTGCGCAAGGGCATCTTAACGGCCTATGTCAGACTTGCAGAGTTGGGCTCTCATGATCATTGATGCTCAATCTTGCAGTTGCTGCGGATTCTGCTACTACTGTTTGTGCTACTGCTACTTTTTCTGCTACGGCTACGGCTACTGCTACTACTACTAGTACTCCTGCTACAACTACTACTACTACTACTACTACTACTACAACTACTACTCCTGCTGCTACTACTACTACTACTGCTACTACTACTACTACTACTACTACTACTACTACTAGTACTAGTACTAGTACTAGTACTAGTACTAGTACTAGTACTAGTACTAGTACTAGTACTAGTACTAGTACTAGTACGAGTACGTGTACGTGTACGAGTACCACCACTACTACTACTACTACTGCTACTACTACTACTGCTACTGCTACTGCTACTGCTACTGCTACTGCTACTGCTACTGCTACCGCTACTGCTACTGCTACTACTACTACTACTACTGCTACTACTACTGCTACTACTAACTACTATTACTGCTACTACTAACTACTACTACCTACTACTACTACTACTACTACTACTACTACTACTACTACTACTACTACTACTACCACTACTACCACTACTACTACTACTACTACTACTACTACTACTACTACTACTACTACTACTACTACTACTACTACTACTACTACTACTACTACTACTACTACTACTAGTACTAGTACTACTACTACTACTACTACTACTACTACTACTACTACTACTACTACTACTACTACTACTACTACTACTACTACTACTACGGCTACGGCTGTTGCTATTCTACTGATACTGGTAGCGTTATTGGTTGTATTACAACTAGTGCCAGTAGTGGTACTTGTTCTGGTCGTTGCTTGTAAGATTTTGTGTACCGGCATCTCTTCGGAGAACATTCTCACTACGAGCGCCGCCACCACCACCACCATCAGCAGCAGCAGAAGCATCACCACCATCACCATCATCATCGTATTCATCCTCATCGCCATCGTCGTCATCATCATCATCATTCTGACGGTTGTTATCGGCGGCTTTCACTGTCATCATCACCATCGTCATCATGCTTGTCATCGTCATCGCGGGCATTTTTATTCTGATCATCGTCATCGTCGTCATCGTCTTCATCATCATCAACGCGAGCATTGTCGTCGCCATCGTCATTACGATACATCGCTAGCATTCTCGTCGTCATCGTTTTGATATTCTCTCCAGGATATTCACCATCATCATAGTCTCGGCTTGTCTGCCGTTCTTTTAGAGCAGCATTGCCCGTGCTACTCACATTTGAAACTCCCGTAATGGTGAATTTGTTTTAGTCTGATGGCAAACCTCGTTCTATTTTCATCTTTCTACATGGATGACTATGCGTTCAGTGTTGGCCCTGCCTTCCCCTTCCCTCCGCCTGCCTTCCTTGTCCCGGTAGGCTGCGCTGGCGCCACTTTCGTGACCAATCAGTTCTGGTGCTCGCTGATGTTTGCACCCAACGTTGCCAGAGCTTGTTTCACATCGACTTGTTCTCCTTCTTTTGAATGTTTCAGGCCCCAAAGAGCATGTAATGCGGTCTTTAACAATTGCAGGTTGTTGGCACGGCCAATGCCACGGCGGCCGGTTGGGGCAACCTGGGAGGCGGCGTGACCCAGCAGCTTGCACGCGCTTCACAAACTTTTCAAAGCTTTGTTCTTGAATGCGGACATTGGTTGTCATGCTTACTATATAAGTGGCTGAGGATTTTCATGATGTCCGTACTTTTCAACCCTATGGTGGCCTCCGGGATGGAGCCGAATGTCGCCTGGCGTGTCTCCATGGTGGTGCCAGCGGTCATGTTCGTGATTTGCGCCATCTGCATGAAGCTCATGATGCCCGGCCGATTTTTAAGATGTTGTTTGCTTGGCTTTGGCCGAGGTTGCTCAATTAATAAACTTGACTGAACTAAAGCATCCGTTCTCAGGGCTGAGCCAAGGTGTTGGGACATGCCCACGGCACGCAACTACGATCCGGCCGTGACCGGCAAGACACAAAAGCCTTCGATGTGGGACTATGTCGAGGTGCTGCGTGACCTTCGTGTCGTGGTCATGATTTTCCAATATTCCGCGTGCTTCGGCACGGATCCCCGTCTGCTCATTTTAATCATTTCCGAGAGCATTTTTGTAGCCGCATAGAAGTCAGTAGTGCAAGATTTCACACCTTTGTTCTAGCATGGAAAGTTGGAGCACACCCCCTGCAGCCTTGCGCTTAAGAGTGGTTTTGTGCGTGTGTGTGCATGTGCTAAGAACTCGCAAAAAAGTGTTTGAGCTTAGGGCCCATACCTTGCTTAATGTTCTACACGGATCACACGTGGGCTCCTGTCGGTTACAAGTTTGCCACGTGTGAGGAACTCGCAATGAACAATCAGTTGGCTACGCATTTTCGGACGTACTTCCAGATGGATGCAGGCGCATGCGGTTTTGGTAGGTGTTAATTTGGAAGCCGCTTCTCGAGGCGCCTGGATATAGACTCGAATGTCGGAACCCGGGCGACAGGTGATGCCAGCGCCCTGGCGGGCGCTTTCGGCCTGATGAACCTGTTCGCAAGATCATTGGGAGGCCGTGTTTTGAACTCAAGTCATGAGCGACTGTTAAGTTTGTGCTGTTGTTTTCAGGCATTAGCAGCGATATTTGCTTCAAGTACTTTGGCTTCCGCGGCCGCATCTCGGACCCATTTGGTCACATGTTAGGGATCGGTGTTTTGAGTGCAGAAGCGGAAGCTGCGGTCCTTCGCGAGACGAGGCATTTGGGCTCAATTCCTGGCACTCTTCTTCGAAGCCATCTTCTTGTTCAGCTTCGGAAAGGCCTGACCCGAGACAAAACTTGGGCGCTTTTCCTGCCAGCAAGCAGATGATGATGATGATGATGACGACGGTGATGGTGGTGGTGATGATGATTCAGGTGGACAATTCGCAGCCTTGGTACGTGGCCTTGGCAGTCTTGGTTTGCTTCTCGCTCTTTGTGCAGATGGCTGAGGCGGGCCCCGCTCAACAAACCTTGAGGTATGCTGTTAGCAGGATAACTTTCGTGGGAATAGCCTTGCCGACGAGCCTCGGAGGGCACCTCCTACGGCATCGTGCCCTTTATGAACCGGAAACTTGGATCAACTCGTCTATGTAGGAGGTTCCGACATGCACACGTAAGGAAGCAACTCGCAGTGGTGTCCGCGCTTGTGGGTGCCGGTGGAAACCTCGGCGCAGTGCCACCCGGCGGCAGGCATTCTTGTAACGGAACGGAATGAACCGGCTGATTCCGAGAGACAGATGATTTTGTTGTCTCCCAGATGAGGCTTTCCCTGTCTCACAAGAGCATTGATTGTTCAAGTCTGGCATGTAGAATCGCGTCTCCCCAAATTACAAGACTGATAATACTGGATCAGGGTGATCAAGAGTATAGAGTGTCAGCAGTACAGAGCTGGAGCCCAGGATTGCAGGCTTCTGCTTCTACAAGCCGATCCAGGATGCCCTGCTGCCTTTCCAGGCAGGGTCGAAGTTCAAGACCGATGTTTGTCTTGGGGTTTGGGGTTGCTTGAGGGTCGCCGGCAAATTTTGAACGTCCATGTCAATGGCGGAAGCGGCGTCGCACCACACATCGTCACTTGTGCCCTGGTGCAGCCTCGAAGTTGGCGTTTAGTCCCATGTACAAGCGTCATGCCCTCTTCTGTTCGCGGACACTGTTCAATCTCGACGCCCACCGCTGCTTTAGCAATCGTGGGACCCGTATCCTGGTAGCCAGATAGGCTTGTGAATCGTTACACAGGGCCCTTAGGCTGGGCTCCTGCGTTGGACAGGTCCATGCGGGCTATGTTATGTTTTGGGCGCTGCTGAGCCCCTGCTACTACTGGTCCGAGATGGGTGGGATGTTCCATGGACCGGCACAGAGCGTTGAGAAGGCGAAGGGCTTCAAGACCAAAGCGGTTCCTTCGGTTCTCTTTCGAGTTGAGACTGGCTTGGGAGCTTCATAATCGTGGGTTCTTAAGGGTTACTACAAGGGATCTACCAGGGTTCTATAGTGTAGTGAACCATGGTGGGTTCAGGGTATGTGGGGATTGTGCACCATTTGCTTTCGGCAAGCCGGGAGGGCAGGGACACACGGGAACCAAACAGTTGGGAGACGTAGGGATGTGGGCTGTGAGGGTTGAGTGGTTGAGTGGGCAGTGATTCAGTGGCAGCTGGAAGTCTGAGCTTTGCAGGGCAAGACCGGCGACTACGAGTCTCACGCGGTGTCCGAGGCCACCACTGCAGCCACCACTGAGACGAGCGTGTGAACTTTAAAGGAGGCAGTTTGACCTTCGAGGTGCAAAACGTTATGCTAATTCGATTGCTCGAGCCAGTTTTGTGTTGTCGGCCGGTGCCTTGGCATGGAGTGCAATGCACCGGCGAGTTCAGACAAGCCCGCCACTTGGCAACAGCCGTGCGCCGGGCCTGCCATCTCTGCATAGTGAGTGCCAAGCACATGACTTGGTGCGACCAGCAAACAGACACGGAAAATCTTCAGATGCGACCTCAGGACTAGCTAAAGTTAAGGGAACCCGCCATTCGAAGTATTCTGGGTCTCCAGCCCTCTGTCACAAAGTTGGTGCAGTCACGGACAAGTTCTACTGAGGTGCTGCCTTGTTTTTGTTATTTGATCTGCTCATACCAAATCCAAGCCAGAAAGCCAGAAACTCTGCCTTGGCTCCAGCTGCCCGAAGCTGCCTTTCCTGCTATGCTTGGCCTTTGGAAGAACCCGGCTTCTAGGGCTTCTGGTTTGGGATTCGCGGCAAGAGGCTTGGAGCACCAAAGCGTGTTGTAATTCCGGCTACGGCCAAGTCAGCACTGTAGTACTGAATGCAGAAACACGATCATGCTCTCATGCCGTGATACTGCGAAACGATAATGCCGCAATGCTGTTGCGGTAGCAGAGTGGAACATTACAGTATGAGGATACTTGTGGGCTGCGTCTCAAGATAGTATACCGCGTCGTCGCTGCGTTAAAGAATGTTCTGCGGTTGACAATAAGATGACTCCGGAGACTTCTGAAGTGAGACCTGCGAACATGAGCGAACTCCTGCTCACAGTTGGTGCTCGAGCTACAGCCTTCAGGACAGAGAGTGTCATCCCGCTGTGTAGAGCCATGGCGGAATACAAATTGGCAGTGGATTCCAGCAAGAAGGCCACCGAGCTGCCGCTACTGAGGGTTTGCGGCACTGTGCAGCAGAATCCCCACATGCGTGCTTTCTGGGCCAGCACAATATCTTTCTTCCTTGCCTTCCTGGGCTGCTTCGTCAGAGCTTACTCCTACACTTACTACGACTCTGCAACCTTGTCACTTTTGAGTTTAGCTCGTTTCGACATTTAAGGTGCACACATACCGAACTCCTAGTTACGCACTGTTTAAACCGCCAAGGCTGGTTTGCCTTGGCGCCTTTAGGCCTCGAAGTTGCGACCAGCATGGGGACGTGCGAAAACCAGCTCTTCCCTCCCACGGACTTCCCAACACGACCAGCCTACCTGAAGTTCAAGAACTTGAAGAGTGGGCTGAGCTATTGCCAGTATGGGGTGGTCAAGGAGAACGGCAAACCGATCGATTGCCAAGACGTCCCCGGAGATGTGGTGAGCGGCGCCGGCTCAACCGCTGAGGAGAAGGAGAAGTACAGGCCCCAGGTGCTGGCAAAGTGCGTGTGCACCCCAGGAACAGAGTGCAAGTCGGTGATAGCGAACCTTTGTCATAGTTGGGTAACATTTTACATTTTTATGGGCACTTAAACCCAATAAGGAAAAATAATTTACATTTTGATCCTATCCCAACCATGAACTAGGAACGCTGGCGTGGCCTCGGTTGCCTCGACCATCTTCGTGAGGGTAGCCTTGGGGACGCTCCTAGAGCGCTTTGGCCCCATGACTTGGCAACAAGGTCCACTTCCCGAACTTGCTAATCTACTAACCATCACAATCATCGCAACAATCGGTCAGCACCCCAACAGCAGCCGAGGTGAACGTTCAGTGCGGCTTGATGTCCTTCGGGGCTTTCTGGGTGGCCATGGCGGCCGCGATTACGGCTCCCTGGAACTACACGCTGATCCGCTTCTTCATAGGCCAACGGGAGTGGAATAGTATTTTGTAGTAATTATTCTTAAAGTATTTAGTATTAGTAGAGTAACTAACATTAGTCTGATATTCGTTCTACAAATATGAGGGTATATTACACCCCGAGAAACAGGTTTGGCGGGTGGGGAATGTCGAGAGACTTGTGGTCAGGACTAGCCTGTTGTTACGAGAATGTGCTGTTGACATTGCGAAGGGGCGCGTCAACAGCCTATGTCCTATGTCATTTTCAGACCAACAGAATTGGGTTCGCACGACCATTGATGTTCAATCTTGCAGCTGCTGCTGATTATGCTACTAATGTTACTGCTACTGCTACCACTACTGCTACCGCTACTGCTACCGCTACGGCTACTGCTACTGCTACTGCTACTGCTACTGCTACTGCTACTGCTACTGCTACTGCTACTACTACTACTACTACTACTACTACTACTACTGCTGCTACTGCTACTACTACGACGACTACGGCTGCTGTTTTTCTACTGCTACTGGTATTGGTACTGCTAGTAGTAGTACAACTAGTGCCAGTGGAGGTACTTCTTCTAGTCGTTGCTTGTAAGACTTTGGTACTGGCACTCTTAGTAGAGCATTCCACTACGAGCGCCGCCACCACCACCATCAGCAGCATCATCACCATCACCATCATCATCGTCATCATCGTCATCATCGTCATCATCCTCATCGCCATGGTCATCATCATCATCATCATCACGGTTGCTATCAGCGGCTTTCACTGTCATCATCACCATCGTCATCATGCCTGTTATCGTCATCGCGGTCATTTTCATTATGATCATCGTCATCGTCGTCATCATCATCGCGAGCGAGCGTTGTCGTCGCCATCGTCATAACGATACATCACTAACATGATCGTCGTCATCGTTTTCATACTCTTTCCAGGATTTTGACCATCATGATCGTCTCGGCTTGTCTGCTGTTCTTTAGAGCAGTATTGCCCGTGTTATCCACCTTTGAAACTCCCGTAATGGTGAATTTGTTTTAGTCTGATGGCAAACCTCGTTCTATTTTCATCTTTCTACATGGATGACTATGCGTTCAGTGTTGGCGCCGCCTTCCCCTTCCCTCCGCCTGCCTTCCTTGTCCCGGTAGGCTGCGCTGGCGCCACTTTCGTGACCAATCAGTTCTGGTGCTCGCTGATGTTTGCACCCAACGTTGCCAGAGCTTGTTTCACATCGACTTGTTCTCCTTCTTTTGAATGTTTCAGGCCCCACAGAGCATGTAATGCGGTCTTTAACAATTGCAGGTTGTTGGCACGGCCAACGCCACGGCGGCCGGTTGGGGCAACCTGGGAGGCGGCGTGACCCAGCAGCTTGCACGCGCTTCACAAACTTTTCAAAGCTTTGTTCTTGAATGCGGACATTGGTTGTCATGCTTACTATATAAGTAGCTGAGGATTTTCATGATGTCCGTACTTTTCAACCCTATGGTGGCCTCCGGGATGGAGCCGAATGTCGCCTGGCGTGTCTCCATGGTGGTGCCAGCGGTCATGTTCGTGATTTGCGCCATCTGCATGAAGCTCATGATGCCCGGCCGATTTTTAAGATGTTGTTTGCTTGGCTTTGGCCGAGGTTGCTCAATTAATAAACTTGACTGAACTAAAGCATCCGTTCTCAGGGCTGAGCCAAGGTGCTGGGACATGCCCACGGCACGCAACTACGATCCGGCCGTGACCGGCAAGACACAAAAGCCTTCGATGTGGGACTACGTCGAGGTGCTGCGTGACCTTCGTGTCGTGGTCATGATTTTCGGGTGCTTGGAGAAACCTCCTCGTGGTGCACCTGGGCCAGTTGGATTGCCAACTGGTGCCAATTCTTCCAGGCTGGTGCTAGACTCTTGATAGCCAGGGGGTGGCTGTCGTGGAGCTCTTGGCTAAGGATCTGCAATGAGGAGGCTGAAGAAGTCTCAGGGGGCATGTTTCCCTGTAGTGGTTTCCTGCAGGGATTGAGACATGCACGAGCTCTCCGACTGCGAACGTGGGTTGCTTTGCCCGCTTTTAGCATCGGAAAGCGGCGATACAGACTGAGTAGATTTCAGAGCGCTCGAAATCTATGTGGAGGGCCATGGGTCGGGGTTTTGACCTATGGTTTGCAGATTCGCAATCGTCACATGCAAATGAAGCGACGTAGACGTCGCCGTCGCAAAAGCTTGCTCCAGCACCCCCGTTCTCTTCTTGATGATGGGGTGTATTTAGGGTGCGAAAATACTTTCGACGAAGATAGTTCGCGAACAGCAGCTGACTTACAGGGACATGACAAAGCAGTTGAAAAGATGAGATGCGCGCGCTCGATTCGCAGAACCTCGGGAAGGCCTTGGTCCGGTTCTCAGGTCGCGAGTGTGGTGCGTGGCATGCCAGGAAAGCCCAGATGTGCAAGCAACACCAGAACCATGAATGATGATGCGGTTCTCGATGCCACGAATGTGTGCGATCACACTAACCCAGGTTGTGGAGTGTCGGGACCACATGTCGGACTGCGGGGCCCGGGCGGGGCACGTGGCGTGACAGGACGGCATGTGGGACCGCGGGTCCCGGCCACCGATGATAATGCGGAGGCGCTTTATGCAACAGTCGTGAACGATCAAGATGACCCAGGCTGTGGAGCGTCGGGACCTCATGTCGGACTGCAGGGCCCATGCGAAGCACGTGGCGTGACAGGACGGCATGTGGGACCGCGGGTCCCGGCCACCGATGACAATGAGGAGGTGCTTTATGCATCAGTCGTGAGCGATCAAGATGACCCAGGCTGCGGAGTGTCGGGACCTCATGTCGGACTGCAGGGCCCGTACGTGACACGCGGCGTGACAGGACGGCATGGGGGACTGCAGGTCCCGGCCATGATGGGATGCAACACACAACGCTGCCCGATCCTGCTCAAAGGAGGGGCAAAACCGAGTCTCGTGGAAGGTTTGGCGGCTTTTCTCCAATCCTACGAGACTGAAGCGCAAACCTTGAATGATGAAGAGTCTCAGTTATGGGCAGCGCTTGAACAACTGATCCAGCGCAGGCCAGCGAACCCGCTACAAGCCCTCAAGGCGCTGGTCACCAAGTTCGCCAAGCAGACGCACCAGCACCGGACACCAGCACCTCAGGAAATTCGCAGCCAACCATCGGGAAGGCATGACGGGCTCAACCATCCGTCACCTTCGAGCGGCTGGTGGC